AAGAGTTTAATATCCTCTTAACATTGAGTATTTTAAATATAATGAAAAATATTTTGAAATTAAATAATTGAGTTTTATGATAAAGAAAAGTGCACTTAATAATATATATTATAATCGTATAAAATATAAAATAGTTGGAAACATATTTTTATGTTGGTTAAAGTAATTAAATTTTATCAATGTTTTTACAAAATATAAAAAATATTAAACTTTCTATATGTAATATTTAATTTTATATAATTATTTAAAATTGTTCTTCCAAATGCTCCACCAAAACACTGTTGCTTAATTTTGATTTCCCTGTTCTGGAGCTAATGCCAGTAAATTATGCGCCACAAAAGCTTGGTCATGTTTCTATCACTAACAAAGTGATGGACCTCTTTGGCAATGGCAATGCTCTCTGTAATTGGATCTGCACAAAAGCATAGTGTGTTTAATTGATGAAATCTCTGGAATCTTGATACACAATTACTTGGATTTTTCTGAACTTCCACGAGAACTGTGATGAATCTTCCTAGTAAACACACTTCACTTGCGTTTCATACCTTATCACTGTTCCAAAATCAACAGACGTATCTTAAATCCGTGTCATTTCAGTCCGTGCCAGGCTGCTATAGTTTGATCGAGCAGTCCGCCAATTCCTGGCCTGCGTGCACCTAACACTTAGTCTCGAGTCAATCGCCAGCAACGTCGTGATATTACTATATACAAAACGTGTATATCAGGAAATACATATAATATGTAGTTTCCTGATATACAATCACCTCGTTTGGTATCGCTGTGTTGACCTTGATCGCTATGTTGAAGTTTCACTTGTTCTTCATCGCTGTGATCTATTGCACGCTTCGGATCATCAAGGCCAACGATGATGGTGCTGTTTCATTTATCAGGGAAGCAAACAGCACAACTCTAGAGCACAAGTACGACTATATTGTTGTTGGAGGAGGAACTGCTGGCTGTGCGATCGCTGCAACCCTATCTCAGCGCTGCAAAGTTCTTGTTCTCGAGCGAGGCGGCTCCCCGTATGGAAATCCGCTGCTCTTGCGGATCGAGAACTCTGGGAACACCTTCGCCAACCCGGGTGGATTGGAGGCTCCCAATCAGGCATTCACTTCCGAGGATGGCGTCGCAAGCATCAGGCCAAATGTTTTGGGAGGAGGCAGCAGCATCAATGGAGCCGTCTACAATCGTGCTCCAGACGAGTTTATCAGCGATGCCAAGCTCGACAAGAACTTGGTCGAGAGCTCGTACGCTTGGGTGGAGAAAGTGGTGGCATCCAGGCCAAGAAACTTCAGTGCTTTCCAGAATTCCATCCGTGGAGCACTGCTCGAAGTCGGTGTAACGCCAGATTTTGGTTTCACTTACAAGTACGTTGTTGGAACAAAAACGACTGGAAACACATTTGATAGCCACGGACAGCGTCATCCATCTTCAGATCTTCTTCTCGCTTATGCAAATCACAAGAACATCGATGTGCTGCTCCATGCGACAGTCTACAAAGTCTTGTTACAAGGTAAAGTTCTCGTGATGCAATTGCGATCGATCTTGTATCCTTTTCTTCTACAGGAGGACGCAGTCGTGGAGTTCTATACACTGACAATCTCGGCCGCTCTCACACAGCTCTTCTCAGCTCTGAAAGAAGTGAAGTTATAATCTCTGCGGGTGCTCTGGGAAGTCCACAGCTACTTATGCTAAGCGGTGTTGGTCCTAAAACTCACCTCGAGGAGATGGGAATTCCAGTAATCTTGGATTTGCCTAAGGTAGGGAAGGGCATGGGTGATAATCCGACAAACACCATCATACTGCGCTCTCGCATTCCTGTTGGAAGCCTGATCCAGCAAGTGGTGGGAGTGAGCAAGTTAAACTTTAGCGCTGGAGGATACATTTTGAGTCAAGACTCGGGGGCTATTGCCGGGGAGGTAAACGGCCCTCTATCAACAGGCGAGCTCTTCCTCAAGAGCATAAACGCGAGTGAAACTCCCCGAGTGAGATTCAACTATTTCCAGAACCCGGTGGATCTACAACGCTGCATTGCCGGAGTCAACACTTTGGAGGAGATGGTGCTCTCTCGATCCATGGCAGCGCTGGTGTTTGGGAATCAGTCCCTTCCATCTGGAGGCACGGTGTCTTCGCCGGATCGAAGAAATGCAACGCTCGTTGCGAGTGGATCTGTGAATAGAACCATCAGCGAGTTTTGCCGGCAAAGTGTTTCGACGAATTACCACTACCATGGGGGATGCCCGCTTGGGGAAGTGGTCGACTGGAGCTTCCGGGTGATGGGCTTGAACGGATTGCGGGTCGTGGATGGATCTACTTTTTTGTCAACTCCTGGAACCAATCCTCAAGCAACAGTGATGATGCTTGGGAGGTACTCTATTCTGTTCTTTAGTGGATCATTGTCTAACTCTCATGGAGCTTTTGCAGATACGTTGGAGTTGAAATTCTGAAAACACGATAGAATGGCAATTGCTACATTGCTGTGGGGCTAGCATTAAATATTTCAAGGAATAAATTATAACATTATGCTAAACATTTGAGCATTAGTGCAAGCATTTATATCTTTTCTTTCCAAGTAATAATAAAATAATAACTTTTTTTTTATTACTAAAAATTTATTAAGTTAATCAAACTTATAAGCATTAGGATGATATTCATTATATTTTTTGTTTATAAAGCTTATAGTTTTAATTTTGTTTTGTTAAATAAAGAAAAAATAAAAATTTCTATGGAAAGGTGAAGTTAAAAACAACTTCTAAAGTATAAAAAAGTGTAATTTTATAACAATTATAGAAAAATGACAAAAAGAGTTAAAACGTTTTAAAAATAAAATAAAATTTATAGAAAAATACTTTTTTATAGTTTTATCCAAAAGTATCTTAAAGCCATTTTTCCTTATATAATACTCTTTAATTGTATTAATAACAAAAATAAGAAATATATTTTTTATATATTCAATCAATACCACTAATCTTAGTTTTTTCATTAAATAGTAAAGAAATTACTATGTTATTTCTAAAAATAAATCTTAATTTGTTAACTATGATATTTTCAAATTTATAAAATTCATGTATAAGCGTAAATCCAGTGGTTATTATCATTGGTTATTGTCCTGAAGAAAAATGACAAATTATGAATTTGTGTCAATTACAAAAAGTTAAAAAATATTTGATGTAATGCACACCCAAAACCATGAATAATATAAACTTATGCATATAATATTCAAAACAATATAAATAAAATTTTTATAAAAATAATTATCTACTAATTTCGAAATTATTTCCCAAATATGTAATATATTTATTGTTGCATATTCCAAATAAAATACACATTATGATTTCTTACTAGTAATTATAAAATATAATAATTTTTATTTTTATAAATATAAATTTATTATATTAATAAACCTTATAAGCATTAGAATGTGTTATTATAGTTTTTTTTAGACTTTAAATTTTGATATTTTAATTTTTTTTATTAAATAAAAATAACAAAAATATTTTATTTCATGTTACTCATTTTGTATTTCTAAGCTAGTGGATGCTACACTTATATAATAGAAGGAAATGAGTTTTAATATTTCAAACTTGTAAACCTCATAGTGAGAGAGAATCCAACAATGTATTACACAAGTTTTTGTTCAAAATTCACAACAAAAGTTTAGAAAAATTTTAAAATACAAGTAAGTTTCGTTAATAAGAATACCACTTTTTTTAGTTTCTTCAAAAATATCTCAAGGACATTTTTTCCATTTTTTATTATCAATGACTAAAAGATGAAGAATGTCATTTTATATATTCCACCTAATCTTACCTTTTTCCTCTTTTTCTTTTGCAATTTACAGTTTAAGGATCTTGCAATCACACCTTTCACCTCCACTACATTTTAGTGTGGGTAAATTGCGACTGTAATGTCCTATATGTCGCAGGGGTGGATGTTTAGAGCATGAGAGACAAATGTGGTGTGCCTTTAGTTGCCTGTGAGTATGTGTATCAAAAGTTCTCCTTATGGAAGTCGAACTTGGTGGCTTGGTTGTGTGAGTATTCTCGTGCTAGGCTATCAAGTTCCCGTGCGAGAATTTTAGATCCACAAAAGAAAACTCCTGAAGAACAAACTTAATGAGCAACCTTCAAGAGGACTATCTTTGCGTGTTACCTATCCGAGCGTTTGGATGAAGTGATGCTAAGTTGCCAAAAACTTTTCTCCAGTTCGGTTTTGCAAAATGTGTCCTGACCTGTTGATCATCGATTAGTTCCAAAATGAGATAAATAAAACTTTTGGTTTTACTCGAGTTCCAGAGAGGATGTCTACTCCGTTTTTCTCAAGGTGCAAAGCTTGCACCATTGTTATGAGAGCTGATCTCGCATCGTCCTCGGCATAGACACTAGTTAAATAGTTGTGCATTTCAATCAATGCCTGTGCTTGCATTTGTCAACGTCTAGAATATGAGGGACGTTTACAACATACCGAATGGTCAAGCTCAGCAATTTCGTTCATGACGCCTCTGAACCACTCAAATGAGCCTTGCTCTTTTGTAAGCCAGTAAAAATACGCGTTGCATGGGCCGTTAATCTTTCTGAATGACGATTCCTTTTTCAGAGGTTTCATCTCACTTCTTCGCACCTAGACAATGGTAAGGAAATGGATGATCTTTCATTAAATCTCATACCTTGGGCTCAGTTGTTTTGATGTTATTCAGTATGTCCTTCAAAATACTGATGAAAGGTGTTGCTCCTATTCCAAGACCGATGAGAAGAAGCACGTCATATTTCTTGTAGTCCTGAGCCGGAGCTCCGTAAGGACCATCAATCAGCAGTTTAGGAAACCTGTTCCAACGAAAGTAAGGACTAACATCAAGTTTTAACACAAACCGTGACTGAAGTCCAAAGAGATACTCCGCTTTCAAAGGCCCGCTCTTGTTGCCAACTGGAGGTTCGCAAACCTGTGTAGTTCCAAGTCAATTACCACCAGAAAACTGTCCGATTTAAAGTACCTTGGAGAAAATTTTTCCCATTTCCCCAGTCCAATCTCCCGATATCCGAATATGAACACTGACAAAATCATCGCTCGGTGCGGAGGTGATGGAGAAAGGATGCCTGCAGACAACCAGAGACGCCAATCAGTCAACGCTAATAAAGTTAGAACGTTTTTTAATGTAGAACGTGGGAGCACAAACGATACCATTCGAAAGGTGATATCGATGGGCACTTGATGAATATATACATACCACTTTGGTACTTAAATCCTGGAGGCTTGGTCATGTCCAAAGACAAAACGTTTCCAGGATAGATTGCCGCCTGAGAAGACGAAAATTATGATCACTAAACTGCCAGAATTATACAACCTTTAGGATTTGAACAGTGGAGTATCCTGCTCGCAGACCGGAAAACGTTCGCTCGAACATGTACAGCAGTGTTGGAAGAAGAAGATACATCCATGCCTGAAAGAACGAAAGAATTAAGAACTGCAAAATGCCAAAGAAAAACAAAGTAAAGGAAGGGAAACATTACTTACTGTTTTGTCGACCCAGTCGTGCTTTAAGAACAGGAACATGGAATGTAAGACGAGCATCGTGTAGACAATGATGAACAGATGGTGGGAGTACCAAAAGGCGTTGAAGCCAGTCAATCTGTGTAACGGCCACGGGAGCTTCACCAGGTTTCTCCGCGAGCGTCCTGATGCTAGAACGAAGGCGACGCACATAATGAGGACCATGGCAATGCCTGTAACGCCTTCGATCGATTTTACGAGCTCCCAGTACGTAGGTTGCCTGTTTCCAAAGTCCCCAGCGAGTCCAGCGGCCATGAACTGCTCGCGAGGGGAATTCGCCAGCCTCGGAAAGTCACAGGTGAGATGAACTCCGCCGTGAAGAACGACTCCAAGGAAGATTGCTCCCCCGATTATCTGTAACCACGATGTTGAGAACACGGGAAAAAGATTACCAACTTGCCTTGTGGAAGTTGATGTTGTCATCAAAAGGAATAAGAGATCCCACGGCGCTTGTGGACCTCAGCCAAGTGATGGAATTCCTACAAACCGGGAGAAGGATGAGAGCCATGTTGAGCTTGAGCGTCTCAGCGGCGCCTTTGGCGACGCATATGCAGTACCCGGCAACCAGAAACGACGACTGGTTCTTGTACTGCACGAACTTCCAGGAAAACAGGCACACCACGGCCAAAAGCCACAAGCCCAGCACCCACAGTCGCTGCCAGTGCTCGATGAATACGTAGCAAATGCCGCGTACCAAGCCGCTGCCACAAAACATCCTCGGCTGCACCAAAATCTGGCCGTAGTTTCCGATTCCGGTCGTCCCTTGGATCAGACTCTCGAGCTGCCAAAGCTGCACGTCAAGCAGGAAAGACAATCCCATGAGAAAACGTACACCACTTTTTTGGAAAAGAGGAACAAAGTGATGGAAAGAGTGCAAGCTCAGCTGGAAATTTGTTTGTCATGCATGACTATTCTGGCTCCAAAGGCGACTGAATGAATGAATCAGTCCAAAACTGTGAGAGCTGTGATGCAATGCATGGGATGGGCAAAAAATTCGTTAAAAATAAAAAGAAAGCCATGGACGACGAAAGAGAAGTCCAATGCTAGCTGCTAGCAGGAGAAGGAATGGAGTACCTCAATGTAGCCTCTTCGCTGGGGGTCCAGCTCTTCCATGATCATCGCAGCGTACTCCTCGGCACGCTCCTTGAGCTTGGACAGCTTGTTCTCGGACGCGCTCAGCATGATGACCTACAAAATCGCAAACAAAGGACGAGGACGTCACCGCCACCGCTCACCAATTGATCGATCTTTGTTACCTCCTTCACCTCCGCCTCGGAGATGAGTCCATCCAGATCCTTGTCACACCTAGATCGCAAGGATATCCAGGAGATGATCGAAGAGAAGAAGAAATGGCTTACATGTCGAAGAAGATTTGCATCCTCGAGTCGAAATTCTGGTCCGAAATCTGGAGCCAAAAATCCCTGAGCTCGTCGTAGCTGATCCATTCCACGCGCTGCCGATGCTTGAGCTTGCGCCGCGCCAAGGCATCGAAGAGCTCCCCGGCAAACTCTTTAGAGTCTTGCATGCCTAGCAAGAAAGAAAAAAAAAGAGCGCGATGGATGATCAATCAAACGCAACCAAAATACTTCTCCCACCGATGCAAAGCCCAAAATCCGCCCGCGAGAGGAGCCCCTGGTCGCTGGCCAGCTTCCAGAATCTCGACTCCACCGCCCGCCATTGCGAATTCGTGGTGCTGATGAATCGCAGGCCCTGGAGCGCGTGCTTGGTCCCGGAGTTGAGGAGCCGCTGCTTGTTCTTGCTCCACAAATCCTTCCTCAGCACGAACGGGCTGCTGGCAATGGCGTCGCGCAGGCTGATCGGGCTGCGATCGGGCGTGGATTTCGCCGACGCCTGCCCCGCGGAGAGCCAGGAGAGCTGCCGGATGAGCGCCAGGCCGCGCGGCGAGCTCCTCGGCGCGCGGCTCTGGGAAGGGTCGTCGACGAGCGTTACCGACCTGTGCTCGGGATCGATGTCGATGGTGAGCTCCAGCAAATGCCGCTTGGATCCCTCGCGCTGATCATCTGCCCCCTTGCGATCGCCGAAGCTCTCGAGCTCTTCTTCCATGCCCGACATATACAAAAGAACAGCTACGTCCCCTGGTCGCTAGACTCGATCTATCTATCGATCGGGCTATCGATCGAGCTACAGAGAGATGGACCCAGCCGGCAAGACATGACATTCGCGCCACAGCAACAGCGTAGCTTCTCAAGCCCCCTTTTGATGGATGACACGATTCCTTCCTTCTAGAATTCCAGATTTTCTCTCCTCTTTCTCACGCTCGCCTGATCAAACACGCGGCGACAAACTGCGACAGGCGACCTAGAGATCGGTGGTCCAGTCTCATCAAATTCCAATCGGGTACTACTACATTGCGTCAAGATCTAGCGCTAGGGCTCACGCGACAGAGGAGTGTTTGAGTCCCTCTCTATTGTTTTTTCTTCTCTCTCCCACTTTCATTCGTTTGACCTCCCCAGTTCTTAGACTCCAATCCAATCCACAGTCAAGTAGCAAACCCCTAGACCGAGCTCCCGGCGTGGCTGCACGCGCCCATCACAATGCTCGCCACGTCTCGCTCGGCCATCTCATCGAAGGTTGCCTTGGCCTGCACAATCCAGCCGCTGCGAATCAGTCAGTCCCTGGCGAATTTGCCCAAACACCGCCCTTTGATCTCTCCAAATGCCGAAGCCGGGCATACGTATAGAGCAGCGCTGTCCAGGTCACGATGCTCCGATCCCCGCTCGCCGTAAAAGCTTCCAGTGCTCGCTTTGTCTGGCCACCAGCGCCATAGCAAACGATGAGCCCGGCCCACGACCAAGAGTTCGCCTCCAGCATTGAATCAACCACCTCTTTCTTGCAATCGATTTGCCCGTCATGGGCAAATTCTTGGACCATAAACACAGCGTTCCTTTACGATATTCTCTCAAAATAACCATATACAGGAAGCCACATCCTTACTTCAAACAATATCTTTGCTTCCCGTTTTGCCGGATGTTCCACGAGATGGTATCATGTAAAAGAATATATTTTGAATATCCAGCCTAAGTTATTCCTTAATTTAATGGCTGTGATTTTCTCCTTTTATAATTCAAACCACATTCTGAATATATTTTAAGGCACATGAATTGGTTAATTAAGAGTTCATCCTCACCATCAAGCTGATAGACACATGCTCTAGATGTGTGAGCAACTTTAAAATCTTAGCTTTCTCCTTCCAACTAGTGTGATGGGAAAATCAATAATTATACTTAGACTTTGACCTTTACTTTATAGTTCTTTGCTTGACACTCAATCTTTGGAGAGCACTTTCTACACACTAGGCAAAGAATTAGTAACTTCTACCATGAAGGCACTTCCATCCATAAGCATTACATAAACCTTTATTTTGGTATCTAATAGACATGGTTATTTTAAAATTCCATCATCATAATGTATGTGTCATGCAAGATCATCATGATCTATGAGACAACATTATAGTTTTATAGTTGTCATATGTGCTTTAACACCTTTTATACAAGCCAATATAGCCCAACTGGATTTTACTAAATTAATTGAAGAATATTTCAAATAGCTTTTGGATGGTTATAAAAAAAGGAAAATCAACTAATTTTCAGTAAAATTTTTTTAAAATTTTATAACTAGTTTTATTTTGAAAATAAATGTAAATATCACAAAACTAGTTTACAAATGTTTTTATATAAACTGTTATGAGGTAGTTTTAAGGGTAATTCAACTATTTTTGTTTTATCACTTGCGTACTTTGTAATCATCCTTATATATTTAAAAGAGAAAAGGCTTTATATTCCAATTTAAATTCCTTTTCTTCTAGATGGTTTAGATGAGGCTATGTGTAAAAATTAAATATGTTAGTTTGAATCAATTTTAAGTTTTTTTGGAGAGAAAAATTAGAGTAGCAATTTTATTTGCTAGGATATTGGATGCTAAATTTTATTATGATTATAATTCCTTAAGTGTTTACATACATTTTTGTGAAAGATAGTAATACTAAAGCATTTTAAATGCAAATGTTATAAAATTTTGTGTCTTCTTTTTTATAAAATTACTTCATACCCTACAGTAAATCAGTAAAAATAAGCATTGCAATGTGTTTTTAAAGGTAAGAAAGTTTTTCCTAATTTTCTCAAATACTAATGTTACATCATTTTTCGTATTATGATTATATGTTAAAGATAATAATAAGTAAAGGTAAACTCAACTCCATTAGTAGTATCAGATCATAATCATATAGGAATTTATATGGTGAAGCACTAATAAAACTTTGCACCCCTATAATATATGCATACTGAAAAAATGGTAAATAACCATCTTAATTTGAATGTTGAAAGTTCACGTACTTCACAATCATTTCTTTGAAAGTGGAGTGAGACATTCCACCAAACCATCTAACATAGATAATAAGTACTTGTGAAAATGTGATATATCCCCAATTGAGACATTAAAATATGAAATGCTTTAACTATAAATGCGAGACCATTATCTAAAAGAATTCACTCCGAATAGAAATGTTAGAACACCACTTGATTAAGGAGGAAATATCCAATACCAATTGCAAACACACTAGCAAAAGCATTGAATTCCACCCAAAAAGTCAAGTAGTCAAAAACAATAATGACATACTCATGGCACCAATTGCAACTACGTATATATTAGATAATGTCACATCACATCTTTGACCAATAGAAAAATCTATGCAGTTTATTAGTCACATGATAATGTTCCATATGCCTACCTAGAATAGGAGAATTATGGTAAGTATAGAGAAAGTGTAGAATAAAAATCGAAAGCACCACCAATCGTAAATGATCATCATGATCTATCTCTACAAAATAAAGAAGATTATCCTCAAGGTAATATTAAGAATGTAAATGCCAAAATAACAAGTCATTAGCAAGTGATGTAAGATTTTTAAACCCATTGGGAAATATTCAAATCCACAGCTCAACCTTTTGAGCCTCACGAACCTCGTCAAGAGAAAATAAATTTTGCTCCTTGTAGATATTGAATATCAAAGATAACAACTGTCAATAGCACAAAATTGTCATCCAAAAAATCCATAGATACTAGAACAACATGTTCATTAGAAATATAAAAAGAAAGTGAAAAAGGAAAAGGAGCTCGAGAAAGAGTGTTAGCATTAACTGTAGAACTCCCCGAATGATAACTAACATTAAAATTATATATCTGAAGCTTCAAAGCCCATCGAATAGTACAATTAACAAAGTTCTTCCACTTCAATAATGAAGTAACCATAATATAATCACCTTCTAGTAATATTTGAAAACCATATAGATATACATGAAGTTTTTCGAAACCCCAAACTACTCCTTTTTTATCGTGGATTTATCTCCATTGGTTGTAATGTACGGCTAATGTATGGGATGACACTAATCAGGCACACTCGGTTTCGTTTGCATTAGCACATTTGTAAAACTGATATTAGAAGTATTCACGTGTAAAATGAAAAGTCGAATGTAGTTAGGATATGCTAAAACTAGAGGAGTCATGAATAACTTTTTTAGATCTGTAAAAATCTACTCATAATTCTCGGACCAAATGAAAAACAACCTTAATAACTTTAACAATGCTCGCAATAGTGCAGTACAATCAAAAAAATGATTAACAAAATAGTTGAGATATTGCATCTTGCCTAAGAAGCATTGTATATTATTCACACATTTTGGAGTAAAGAACTTGAGAACAACCATAAGTTTATCAGGATCAATTTGCAAATTTTCACGAAAAATACGGTATCCAAGATAAGTGGTGTCTTTAGACCTAAACACACTTTAATTACTTTAGCTTTAAACTAACTTTCTGTAATCGATCCAACACTTTATGAATATCACAAACATTTTCCTCCCATTTCCCCTCCAACTGGATCAAAACATTCGATGAAATCAATAATCACCTTTGGCATATCACAAAGAAATTTATCTATTATTTGCATTAGAGCATTGCTTAAATCAAACGGTATCACCAAAACTCCTATAGGAACCTTGATTGAACAAACATCTATAATTTGAATAGGATGATCTGTTGCAATCTTGGCCCTAAATAACATGTTAAATTCAAAGAGATTAACATACTCTTTTATGAGTTAGTTAACCACTACAATACAAAGACCGTTGGAGAGATTTAAAGAGGGAATAAAGGAACAAAATAGAAACATAGAAAGAAATAAAAGGGAGACAAAATGATGGAACTAAAGGTAAAAGCAAAGGGATAAAGAAGAACAAAAGTGAGAGGAATGGAAAAAAGATAATAAAGTATGAGACAAAGGGGAAAAGCCTTAAAGTTATATTTGGCATGATTGCATTATAATAAATTCATATCAAAAATGAGGTCAAAAACTTGATTTAACACCACTTGCAATGAGTGTAACTCAAACTTCAGATTGCCCACATACACAACTAAATGTACCTGATCCCATGTAGATGCGTGTGTATGGCTATTATTATAAAGAATGAAAATTGGCTTTATAGCATGATGCAAATGTAGATGGCAATATGTGGCAATAAGCTAAGCAATAGAAAATAAACTCAAGTATGTATCAATTAACATGAAGAGAATAATATGAGATCTTTTGTTATAAAAACAAATTTGGAAAGTAAACACTAGATAAATTGGTGTCGAGTGAACTTTGTGATGATACTCCTGAAAGAAAGATGGAGGGGTCACTAACTTATTTGCACAAAGACCCTCCACTACTCACAGGACTCTTTATTTCTCAAAAAAATCTCAATGTCCAAATCTTCAACTGTAGTAGCATCAATAAGACATTGTTGACGCTAAAGTCGCCACCCAAGAAATGGTCACTTATCTAGAAAATGTTAATAACGCTAATAAATGTGACTAACTTCATCATATGTCTAACAGCAAACATCATGGCCATGACCACATCCTTGTTTTTGTCTTTGAACTTGGGCAGCAACAGCATCAACTTCCATGAAAGCAAGACCATCTTTTATAGAAAGTGAAATTAAAGGTGTGGCAAACACTTCTTCATGATCTTATAGGATTTATGTATACACTTTCTTTAGCCACTTTGTTGATGCTCTTCCCTTTGGCATAATGTTATAAAACGTTACCTCTTCCACTTTTCATTACATGTACATTCTTAATTTGATTTGCTTTGACATATTTGCCTTTGCACGAAACAAAGGGTTTCAGAAGCGAATGCCAAATTGCATCACTAACTTAAATGGCCCATAATGAAAATGATGCAATTGTTAGAAAATCACAACCATTGGTATGTTCAAATATGCATTTGAAGACATATAAGAGAATGCTTAAACCATTGTACAATTGCAGTGCCATCCCTTAAAAACACATGGGAAACTCAAGTAAATGCCAAGTATCATCCCAAAAATGATATGTGGCAATCATTGTAAAGTGATTGAACTAATGATATATATCATCTCCATGATTTCTATGGAAGAACTCTAACTGGACATGAAGATTGGCAGCAAAAGTAGAAGGAATTATACCACGTGTCATGAATATTGCCATTAATTGAGTTTAATTGTTCAATTGAGCAATTGCATTAATTGTTACTTTAGAATCAAAGGAGGAAAAGTCTACTACTCTACTATGAAGATGAATAAAAAGGAAAAAAAGGAAACAAAAAGAAATTAAAAAATCTATAAGGAAAGGGAAATTTAGACAATGTAAAAGCTAAATTTAAATTAAAATCCCAAATCTAAGCACTCTTCAAAAACAATTAAAACTACCCCTCATCTCCACCAATGCGAGTGTATGAAATATGGAAATAGAATGCAGAAATATACATATCAATTAGCCCAAAAACCATAGTTTATATAAGAGTGAGTGCCAATGGCTAATAAATTTTTAATCTATTGATTGTAGAATAAAATTATATTTATTAATCTCATTAAAAAGTTCAATTTCACTGTGTATCACGATAATAAAAAACATTCTAAAAATAAATAGTTGCAGGTTAAAGAAATTATAAAAAATTATGACTATTGTAAAAAACCTAAACTTCCATTATCCATGACGCCATTGGCATACAACCTCAGCCCTCTCTAGATTTCCAGATTTCTCCATTCTTTAGCGCTCACTTACAAGAGAGACTAGTGTTTTGAATCCCAACCCTGAAGGTTTCTCATTCGGTTCATTCTTGGCGCGGGAGTGACTCGGGAATACTCTCCACCAAGTTCAACTCCCACAAGGAGAACTTTTGGCACACATACACGCAAACAACACACAGACGTCATGTTTATTCGTCTCTCATGCTCTATACTTCCACTCCCTGCGACACATAGGACACTGTGGTCGGGGGCTCTGCGAGTTCACCCACTTGAGAATACAATGGAGGTGGAACGCGTGATTGCAAGCTCCCCAAACTGTAGATCACAACCGAGAAAACACACAGGTAGTCAGTAGCAAACGATAACAATCAAAGACTACAAAGGAAACAGGAAAGCCAAACTAACAAACTTGACTCTGTCCAGTGAAGAGATCTCTCGCAGCTGCATGCTTAGAAGCTGCGGAAAAATCGATCGTTTTCACTGCGAAGATCGCTCTAGCACTAGAAAACCTTCTCGGGTCTTCCCTCGACGAGAGAGCTCGCTCGAAGAGAGGGCCGAAGTGTGCGTATCTCAAGCCAGACGAAACGAAAACAGAGAATACAGACACCAGAGGAAAAAAAAAACCACTTACTGAGAGGGCAATCGTCGCCGGGCATCTTGCAATCCGGGCAGCATCCATCAAACGCCATTCGGCAAATCCCACAGGCGTCGTCGTGCGCGTCCCATGTCCAAGAAGCCACAGCGTGCCATCTACAAAAACGAGTCTCGTAGAGAAGAAAGAAAAAAAAAAGAAAAGAGAAACTTACTCTAAGATTTACAATGCCGAGCCGATCGCGAGAGCCAGCAGTTAAGGAGATCACAACAAGGAAGAAAAAAAATGCAATAGATCGAGCAAGGATACTCAGCACCTTCACCTTCATCGCGCGCACAAGAACCCTAAAACCCTTCCACGAAAGTAACGTTTTAGGGCTAAAGGAGAGGGGGATGAGCTATGCCGCGATCAAGCTGGTTCACGGGCCGACCGGTGTCAGCGCTTGCGCCAGCGCGTTCATCACGCACTCGCCAGTGAATCCGGCGTCGTCGTCAGGATGGAAATCGGGCAATGCGAAGGACTCCCTCCCCAATCTTGTTCTCGTCAAGGCCAATGTGCTGGAAATCTACAATGTGCGCTTCCAGGAGGGGGACGAGAAGAGCGCGAGAGGGGGCGAGCAGCTGGTTGGATCGGCCTGCGTTGCGTTCCCGGCGTCGGCAAAGAGGGGAGGATTCATGTCAGGGATTACAGCAGCTTGGCTCGAGCTTGTTTGCCAATACCGGTGAGAAAAAAAAAAATTGTTCATGGCTGCTATGGCTGAGGCATTGTGATCGTCAGGCTTTTCGGGATTGTAGACAGCATGGCTATTCTCCATCGTGGTCGAGACGGCGGTCGTCACCGAGATGCTATCATTCTCGCATTCCCGGCTGCTAAGTTTTCTGTGTTGTTCTTCGATGATGCAACCCAGCAGCTCAAGACGAGGTAAGTTTCCTATAGCTCAGCTCTTGTAAGGTGTTTGATCTTCGCGTGTGTGTCCAGCTCGATGCATTATTTTGAAGGACCGGAATGGATACACTTGAAACGAGGACGCGAAAAATTCCCTGGTGGTCCTCTAGTCCGAGCAGATTCTCAGGGCAGATGCGCTGGAGTTCTTATTTACAAATGCCAGTTGGTGATGATGAAAGCTGCTCAGGTTTGCTCGTTTGTGTTGCATATTTCGCTGGATGTTTTGATATGATCGTGAAAAACCACTGACAGGAGGCATATGGGCTTGTCGAGGAAGACGATCCATCTGGGAACATCGTCAGTGCGCGCATTGAGTCATCGTATGTAGTAAACCTGCAAGAATTGGGAATGATGCACGTTAAGGACTTCGTCTTTCTCTACGGTAAGCAACGAGAAACTTGGTGCATGCTGATCTGGAGCTCGTCCATCCGCAGGATATATTGAACCAGTTGTAGCCATTCTTCATGAAAGAGAGCTAACATGGGCTGGCCGTGTCACATTTCGACGAGATACTTGTTGTGTAACAGCGCTGAGCATAAACACCAACACCAAGAAGCATCCCAGGCTATGGTTTCAAACAGTGAGTTTTCGTGATATTGTGCTTTTTCTCCCGAGTAAAACCAATCCTCACACAGGGTCTACCTTACGACGCATACAGCCTTTTAGCGGTGCCTTCACCAATTGGAGGGGTGCTAGTTCTTTGTGCGAACAGCATTCTTTACTATAGCCAGGTGAATGTATTAACTTTTAGGCGATGGGTGCTCATACAGCTTTGGACAGGTCTCTACATGCATCGTTGCAGTTAACGAGCTTGCCACTCCACCTGCTGGAAGGTAAACGTCTGCTTGAATGTCACGTATGATTCAATGTTGATCTATTCAGCTTGGAGATGCCAAGGTCCAAGTTTTCTATCGAGCTTGATGCTGCTCATGCAACTTGGCTCTCATACGATGCCGCTCTTTTGTCAACAAAGACAGGAATGCTTGTTCATCTGCACTTGATATTCGATGGCAGGTACTGTCAATGAGCACCAAACCTTGTAAAATCCTATATTTTTTTGTTTTAGGAATGTGCAGAGGCTTGAGCTCTCAAAATCGAAGGGGTCTGTATTGTCCTCGGTATTGTTTGTTTTTCTTTTCTTTTCTCTTCAAAACTATGGACTTACTCTTCTTTTCATGTAGAGTTTGTGCACCATTGGGGACAAGTTCTTTTTTGTCGGAAGTCGGCTAGGCGACAGCCTTCTTGTACAGTTTGGTAGCGCATCAACCTCTAACTCACTTGAACACAGCTATGATGGAGAAGACGTATGTTTGAATTGTAATATCATTTGATTGATACTGATGTTTCATCTGTAGTACGACGAAATGGACGAGGATATAATGGTGCGACCTTCAAAGCGAATGCGTCTTGATGACGATGCCAGTGAACAATCTTTGTATCAGTATAAGTCGGGGGTTTCAGATTCACAAAAGGTGATCTGTCTTTCTGATGTGCTGTATCTGAATGTTTCGCTCTTTCTGCAGAACATGAACTTCTTATTTTCCGTGCGGGACTCCTTATGCAATATAGGACCTATCAGAGATATCACTTGCAGATCTCAGAATCCATCGGAACAACCTGGTAGCGCACAAGACCTGGTTCGTTTATTGTTTTTCAAAATTTTGTCTATAATAGTAATTTTTTGTAGATTGCTTGCTGTGGCCATGGAAAAAATGGCTCGCTTAACATAATCAGTCGCTCGATACGACCAGATTTCATCACTCAGGCAAATATGTCACTCCTGTTCTTTGCAGTTGCTTATGCTTTGTTTTTTCAGGTTAAACTTCCCGGATGCGTAGGCGTGTGGACAGTTTATCACAGATCTGGTCAAATCCCTGCAGAAAAGGATGAATACCACGCTTATCTGATTATTAGCCTAGAATCTCGCACAATGGTCAGTGGTTTATGTTTGTTACGTTGTACACAATAAGTAGTTCGGTAAAACTTCTACAGGTTCTAGAGACCGGCGAGACGCTTGGAGAAGTTACGGACTCTGTAGAGTATTACACTGAGGGCCCATCAATATCGGCTGGAAACCTGTTTGGAAGGTATGGGTTAGCCTCGACGTGTAAGTTCTGATCATTCTTTTGCAGGAGGAGAATTGCTCAAGTATATCAGAAGGGAGTCCGGATTTTGGATGGAGCCCGTCAAACTCAGGACTTGCAAGTAGGAGAACCAGGAAATGCTATTGAGTCTGCATCGTTTGCAGATCCGTATGTTCTCTTGCGAATGCAAGATGGGAGTTGTCAGCTTGTTGTGGGAGGTACGTTCAGCTTTACGTGTATCGAAGGTTTGCATGCTTATTATTTCTCTGACAGACTCGGAAACTCTCACCGTATCTGTATCAACACCTCCAGAACTCGGACTTTCTCCCGATCCAATCAGCGCTTGTACACTCTACAACGACAGAGGACCCAGTCCTTGGTTGCGAAGAGCCACTGGAGACGTGTGGCAAACACTGGGGGTTCCAGATGCAAACTTCGCTTTTGACCAGGGGGACATGTACTGCATAGTTTGCCGAAATAGTGGTACTATGGAGTTTTTGGAGCTTCCGAGCATGGCCTGCTTATACAGAGTAGAGAGACTGCCATATGGAGTTCAGGTGCTGGCCGATAGTAGAACTGCTAGCAAGGTCCCCGTTGACACCTCTTCGAACAAAGATGAGGAAGGTGCCGAAGAGATACGGGAAAGAATGTCGAAGATCAAGGTGGTAGATATCTGCGTCGACACCTGGGGAGAGAAGTATGGCAGACCATTTGTGTTTGTGCTTCTAAGTGACGGAACTCTTCTCTCCTACCGAGCATTCATCTACGAAGGACAAGACAGTGGTGCCCATGCCAGCGACGGTACAAGTTTCAGAAATCTGCGGTTCTTACGGTTACAGCTTGACTTGGAGCTCGGAGAGGAAGACAGCAATGCCGACGAAGTCCGATCCGTTCAGAAGATCATTCCTTTCAAGGATGTTGGTGGCCTCCAAGGATTGTTCCTCGCCGGTGGCAAGCCAACGTGGTTGATGATCTTTCGTGAGCAAATACGTCTTCATCCACAGGTATGTCCTTCAGCTCTTTTCTGTGATTGATTTCTTTGCATTTTCCAGGCCAGTGACGGACCGATTGTAGCGTTTACAAGCTTACACAATGTGAATTGTCAGCATGGACTTATCTACGTAACTAACGAGGTTAGTGCTCACATATAGTGCACGTATCTGCTAAGCTCCGGTTTCCTGGTCTCTCCAGGCATCGCTAAAGATATGTCGACTCTCTAATATCTTGAACTACGATAATGACTGGCCAGTGCAAAAGGTAGATATGGTTGGTTGGTTGCTCCATTAGGTCCTGTTACCATTTCCTTGCTCAGATCCCGTTGAAAGGCACACCGCATCAAATGGCACACCATCCCGACCTTAACATCTACGTTCTCGTCTTGTCATTCTCGGTAAGAAGGTTTTTCCACTCCCTATAGATATGTGATGGTTTGTTGTCAGGTCTCAGTGCCAACATCTCTCGTGCTGCCATCGGCCGCAGATGGCCCGCCTGGCCATCAGATTGACCAGAGCGAGGCTTCTGATGGCCTGGATCCTCAAAAAATGGTCCAAGTTGATGACTTTGAAGTTCGCCTTTTAGAACCAATGGCTCAGGGTGTGCCTTGGGAGACCAAAGATACAATCAAGTTCCAGCCCGCGGAAAATGTCTTGACGGTCCGCATTGTTAGCATCAAGGTAAATAGTCTATCCATCTTTCGCGCTACTGATGGCTTCAAATTTCTGGCAGAATGCAGCAACGGAACAAGTAGAAAACCTACTGGCAATTGGAACCGGTTATCTGCAAGGAGAAGATGTTGCTTCTAGGGGACGTATTATCCTCGTCTCACTTGGAGAGGATCCTAGTGATCCAAAAGTCTGGGTAAGCTCTCGCTACTTTTAAAGTTGTGACTTGGATAACGATGCATTGTCACGTCAGGCTAAAGAACTCTATTCCAAGGAGCTGAAGGGTGCCATTTCCGCTTTGGCGGCATTGCAAGGCCACCTTCTCCTCGCTATAGGACCGAAAATCATTCTTCACACGTGGAATGGATCTGAGCTGATTGGGACAGCGTTTTTTGATGCTCCACTCTACGTTGTCAGCCTAAACATCGTAAGTAGCTAATTCCTCGTGTTTTAATCGTTTGTAACATTTTCCTTTTCATTGCAGGTGAAAAACTTCGTGCTGTTTGGCGACTTCCACAAGAGCATATATTTTCTTTGCTGGAAGGAAGAGGGAGCGCAACTAGTCCTACTAGCAAAGGACTTCGGCTCGTTGGACTGCTACGCAACCGAGTTTCTGATCGATGGGAGTACACTGAGCCTTCTCGTCTCGGACAGCCGAAAGAACATACAGGTGACTCGCTTGTAAAAATTTTATACATTTTTCCTTTCTGTCCTCCTATGATTTGCAGGTGTTCTCCTACGCTCCCAAAAACGCGGAGAGCTGGAAGGGACAGAAGCTACTCCCCAGGGTGGAGTTCCACCTGGGATCTCATGTCACCAAGTTCCTGAGGCTCCAAATGCTGCAGACGCCAGGTTCTTCCCGCACAAATCGATTCGCTCTCTGCTTTGGCACACTCGACGGCGGCATTGGCTACATCACTCCGCTCGACGAGCTCACGTTCCGGAGGCTCCAGACGCTCCAGCGAAAGCTGGTGGACTTGGTGCCGCACGTAGCGGGGCTCAATCCAAAAGCGTACAGGCAATTCCAAGCAAACGGCGAGCACCACAAGCATGGCCCGGACAACACAGTCGATAGCGAACAGCTCAGAGAGTAAGAAGCTCCCGAAAAACTTTTAGTTTACTCACTCCTTTTTGTCTTTTCCAGATATGAATCACTGTCCCTCGACAAGCAAGTGGCCATAGCTCGTCAAATCGGCACGACTAGGCAACAGATTTTTGCAAACTTGCGGGACATATCTCTCAGCACGAGCTTCTTTTGATCGACTTTGGAGGACAAAATATCTTTCACAAGTGTAAGGAGCTCTCTTTTTTTTTTCACTTTTTGTTTAGCCCGGGTATACTAGAGAAGAGAGAAAACTTCTTTTGTAATATTGATTGTCACAGCTTTGTAAAATTGGATTAGCTCTTGTTAGTTTCGTTTACCTTCACGCCACGACTCTAACAGCGGGCGAAGAATCAACTCCAGAGGATGCAGTGGCCACCTTGTCCATCTTTCGAGCGGCTGTGACCATCTCCGTTACGTGATCTACAATCACTCCATCCACACCATCCTCTTCTTGTTTGTGGAGAGCTTCGGCCATGTTACTGTAACTAGACAGTGTAAGAGCTGGTCACTAAAAAGATTTCGCAGTACGTACTTTAGTTCGCCGTAAGTGAGGAATGAGAGGCCGGCTTGCTTTACTTGCGCCACTGCGCTGGGATTGTTTAGCACGGCTTTAACTTCGGAGACAATCCCTTGGAGGTTACCTGTTTAGCGAGGAGACAAAGGTTAGATCCCAGAGTTTGGAGCAAACGAAGTATAGCGAAGCTTACTCGTCTTGCAGACTTGGATTGCTGCCTCTATTGAATTCCGACGAGGATCGTTGTAAAGCTGTACACCACCGTCGGTCAGAAAGAATACCTGCAGGCACCCAAGAGATCAGATAATCACAAACAATTAAGCAAAGGACTTACGGGATATCTCGATTGTTTCTTCCTCAGCAAACCCACCGCGTCGGGATGGAAAGAGGAGAAGTAAATCCTTCTTCCGCCGGCGTACTGCTCCACTTCCTGAAAACCAGCAGCGTTAGCCATTTCTGCACGGGAGAAAGCTCGAAAACTTCTTAGATTACCGAAAGGATAGCACCGATAACACGCTCCAGCTCCTGGTCTGACGTGGGAAGAACGTCGTGGAACTTCACCTCGATGTTGAAGCCAGTGAAGGGATGAACCTCCTCAAAGGCCTGTTTGAGCGTACACAAGGAGTCGTCCACACTGACAGTCCATTTCCTCAGAGCCCCATCGCTTGCACGTCGCAACAGCGACTTTCCACCCTGAAGAAACAATATTAAATCTCTTCGGACACAAGAGAAGAGACAAACTTCTCTACCTGGTGGCCATCTCTCTGGAAGCCAATGGATAGAAACTCGTGCAACGTCATATCTCCTATCGCTCTCTCAACCTGTGGACACAGCCAACGATAAGTGGATAAGTCCTTTCTACTCTCCTCATTTTTTTTCCTTAAGAAACTCACGCTATCATCAGTGATGAGCAGATCATCGTGGAAGATCACAGCATGTCCATCTTTGGTCACCTAATTCACAAAGAAGTTATATATCACGAGGAGCTCAAAGTAAAAAAAGATAGACTACTCTCGTACTCTTTTTACCTGGACATCAAATTCCACGAAGTCGGCTCCATTGGCAGCCGCCATGTTGAACGAGGTGATCGTGTTCTCCATGATCGAAGGCCTGGAATCGGCAGCTTCCAGCGCTGTGATCTTGTTCTTGCCACACCCACGGTGGCCAACCACGACGAGCTTGGGCTTGCCATTAAACCATCTCGACCCTGCAAAGGCAAAGATTCACATCCATAGCGAAGCTAGAGACACCGTATCGCCTTACCTGCCCAGAAATCCACCGCGGCTTCTCCCATTTGCAAGGTCTCTGGAAGGGCAGCAAAGGAAATATTTCAATGAAAGTTTTCCCCCCTTTTTGCCGAAAGGGATCGATTCATCCCTTCTCTCCTCCGAGAAGCAGGAAAAGGGAGAGAAAGGGAGAGAGGAGAAGGAGTCAGCGATTGATACCAGGAACAATCTTTGCTTCCGCGATCGCCGAGAGGAGGCGGCGCTGATTCCCGCTAAGCGGATCTTGAGGCCTGGGCAGCGAATCGCCAATACACGAAGCGATCAAGCACGAGCAGCGCAATGTGGATATCACTCTTCCACCCATCGATCTTCTTCCCTCTTTCTCCTCTTTATAAAAATTTTACCTCTCTTTCACAGTAACGCGCTAAAGCTGCCGTACCGCATCTGGTCGTCCATCTCGTCGATATTCCGGGGCGCAATGGCAAGTGGACGAATCTTCCCCAGGGGATCTTCGCATATCCATATCAGGGGCTCCGGATATTCCTATTGACTTGACCATTAACCTTAAACGTGTATATCGATTTCCCTATTGTCCTGATTGAGATGATAGAGATTCTCTTATGGTGACAATCGCTCTATCTTCCACTCGCTGGAATTTGCTAGTCTTGTGAAACGAATCCTAGCAAAACCAAGAGCAAACTTATCAACCATCAAATGTAAGAAACTTCTAACCTGTCATGAAGGCGAGACTCTCGACCCTGCCAGAATTCTATGGCACGCGGAGCCAATCTAAATCCACCCCAGTGCTCCGGCCTTGGAATCGCTAAGCTCCTGCCAGCACTCCTCGCTTAGCATATAAAAGTTGAAATTGGTGCTAACCTGTCCGCATACTTTGCGACCAGCTGCTCATAAGACTCGTCCAGAATGTGCCTCCCGGAAATCACAGCGCTCTAAACCATGAAGAACTTTGCGTTAAGTTGCCAGGAAGATCGAATAAGAGTTTTCACCTGTGAGCTTACGAGTGCTCCAATTTGACTTTCTCTTGGTCGGCTGTGAAAATAGTCATCGGATTCTTCTCGGGACACGGGCGACACGTCGCCCTCCACACGGACCTACAGAAGCTCGACGTTACAAGAGATTAAAACTTGGCAAAACAGACCTGGCGATGAAGCCTGTCCCAAAAAAACACGAGCGACGCATTAGGATTGGAGTTGAGTTCGTTTGCTTTGCGACTGTCGTAGTTCGTGTACCTGTATATGCGAAGGAAAGAAAAGATTTGATAAGTACAAGAGGGTGTTGTATAAACAACTTACCAAACAAAGCCTCGAGCATCGTAGCCTTTCAACAAAACCATCCGAGCAGAGCTGGGAGAAATAAACAATCAAAGACAAAGACAAAGAGAGAACGAAAAAATTCATACGGTCGTCCTTCAGCATCGGCGGTTGCTAGTGTCATGGCATTTGGTTCTGGCAATCCCGCAGCCACGGCATCTTCAAACCACTCTTTGAACTGCAATCCAAATACTCGTCATTGTTAATAAGATTGGAGTCACAGCAGAGATTTTCTCAAGCTTTCTACCTGCTGTATGGGATCTGAGTTCACTTGATTCTCGAGCAGAACGGATCCAACATAGTTCTCTCTCAGAGCCGCAACATCTACGTGGGGTGTCCTCCCGATTCGCACGCATTGAGAAGTTCCAGGATATGGCGGCAGCTTCAAGTTAAACTTATTCACCACTGCAGGAGGAACAAATCTTCCACCTAGAAAATGATGAGGACCTTTAAACATTTTGGCACAAAGCTTTGGAGCCGTGAGAGAAACCTGGACAGTCCACAGATAAGTATTGAATCTAAATGAAAGGAAACTTCGCACCAGCATATCTGGATTCAAGCCTAGTCCATTAACATCGCCCTCTTCAACGTGCCAGCCCGATGGAACATCGACCGATACTACATTTGGCGTGCGCGTCAAAAGCTGTACAAGCTTGTCGAAAGGAGGTCTTGGAACTCCTGGAAATGCAAGACTACTTAAACCCGCAAACAGAGAGGGAACGCATTCTTGCCTTTGAATGAAAATCCGAACATCGCATCCACGACAATATCGTAACCGGAGCTTAACTCCGAGGGAAGATCCTCATGCGACAGGAACGGCACAGACAAGCTTTCAAGCTACAGAAAAACACAGTGAGGGATTAGAACTCCGAGAGATAAAAGCTTGAATCCTACTTGAGTTACGAGGCCGTGGTAAAGAGGCTTGTCAGTTCTCTTGGGATAAACAATGCTCGGTTTGTAGCCAAAATGGTGGAGATGGCGAGCGGCCACCAGTCCGTCACCACCGTTGTTTCCAGGACCACACAGCAGTAAAACACGAGCGTGATCGAGAGAAGAATAAACCTGCAACGAGAAAATTAGAATCACATAAATGTAGTTTTGGTTTCATACCTCAGCTATGGCCGAAGCAACACTCAATCCAGCAAGTTCCTGAGAAGAACAAAGAGAAAAAAAGGAACTTAAGAAGAAGAAAGAAGAAGAAAGAGAGGTTACCATTAGCTGGTCGACACTGAATCCAAGCGGCCCCATGAGATGCTCGTCAATTCCGATCGCCGATGATTGCGAGAGATAGGAAATCGAGTCGGGGTCGTGCAAATGCTGCACGCTCACTGCCGCCATTTCTTCGCGCGTCGTCGAGCAAGAACGTCGGGGAATCGAGCGCTCTCCAATCCAGCTGATTCTACCGCTGCTGCGATTCGTTTGATCCCAAAACCTCACTGCCCTAGCGCGAGAAGCTCCCCGATTCCAGCAGCTCGCGAATTTCAAGCAATGCCTCGCACTGAAGTGTGCAGGCAGCTGCAACAGAGAAATCGCCCCAGCGCTCTTAGCAGCTCAATCAAATCTGGGGGAAGAGAAAGACGTCACCGCCATAGCGCACTCAAACAATGCCGCGCCCTTAGAGCCCTAGAAAACAGGGGACCCAAGAGCCCTAAGATTCCGGTATATTCTCCTTCGTTCTTCTTAAGTTGCTGGCCAGGAGAACATACGCAGCCCCATTCCTGGGATTCAGTCCCAGCGCGCGATCGGCCGCGACATCGCTGCTACCGCAATCGATCCTCTGCAGCGTTGCCCATGCCACATCATCGGGAAGAAATGGCATGGTGTTAACGAGCTCCTCGGCGTCGGCAATCCTTCCCACTCTCGCCAGGACGTCGATCATTGCCCAATAGTGCTCCTGCGATGGATCAAGCCAGTGATCCGATCTCATCGACCGGAACAGCGCGCCCGCGGCCTCCAGCATTCCGGTGTGGCTGTGCGCGAGCAGCGCCGCCACGAAAGAGACCTCGTCCGGATCCTCGCCCTCGCAGCGCATCGATCGCAGCAGCTCGACTACCTCTCTGCCGCGCTCGTATCGCGCGCACGCCGCGATCATCGTGTTCCAGGAGCCCCGATCGAGATTCCACTCGGGGATCGACGCGAAGAGGGCCCTCGACTCGCGCAAATGCCCGCACTGCGCAAAGGCTGTGATCATCGCCGCTGCTGCCACGGCGTCGTGGCTGGGCATCCGCTGATAGACCTCTTCCGCGCGGCGCCCATTGTCGGCGTGATCCCCAAATGCCTTGATCATCGTGGTCCACGCCGCGAGATCCCTCTCGGGCATCGATTCAAACACCGTTTTCGCGCGATCGGGATCCCCGGCGCGCGCGAGCGCCGTGATCATCGATCCCCACGCAATCGCGTCCCTCTGCGGCATCGCCTCGAAGACCCTGAGGGCGCAGTCCAGATCGCCGGCCTGCGCGCTGGAATCCAGCAGCGCCGTCCAGGAGATCACATTCCTCCCGCCCAGCTCCTGGAAAAATTCCCAAGAACACAGCAACCTCGCCACCGCCGTACAAAGTACCGGGCTCTCGCCACCAGCAACGCGGCCGTATAGGCCCCTGGCGCTCGCAACATCGCCGTTGGATGCGTAGGCGTGGATCAACGGCGAGCACGATGCCACGCTGTGGGCGGGCATTCTCTCCAGCACCATGCGCGCTTGATCCACTTGCCCGGCGAGGGCATACGCACTGACCATAGCATTCCAAGCGATTAGATCCCTTTCGAGCATCTCATCAAATACTTCTCTGGCGCAGTCGATCTGGCCACTGGCGGCGATCATGCTTGTGGACATCGCTAGAGTTCTTCCAGGCGCTCGATTAAAAGCGTCCAGCGCAGTTTCCAAATCACCACTCCCGACAAATGCCGTCACCATGACAGCCCAAGACGCCGAGTTTCTCCCCGGAGCTTCGTCGAAGAGCTTCTTGGCGTCGGCAATTTCTCGGATTCTGGCGTACGTTGTGATTAATGAGTTCCTGGCATGTATATCTGGCTGTGGTGTCGATTGAAAGAGCTGCCTAGCAGAATCCAGATCCCCACACCGGGTATACATTGAGATGAGGAGGCTTGCGAGGAGTGGCGTCTTCTCGAGATCGATCCGGCGCGCGCGAGCGTGGATCTGCTTCCCTTGCTCGAGGTTTGAGCACGATCGCAGCAGCTGGGAAAGCTTCTCTCGCTCGAGCCAGGCGCGGGACGGGCGGTCTACAAGCCGCATCAGCGCTGACGTGGGGGCTGCGTCGCTTTTAAACTTTCTCTGGCAGTTCCCATGGGATCGATCGATCAATCCGGTTTTATACCCCCATTTCTCCAACGTTCCATGCAACAATTCGCCTCTCCATCGAGCAAAGTTTTCATACCGTGCCTCACGGTTTACTGCCTCATGGCGTGATCACCATTTTATTGGTACCATGTAGTTTCAGTCAGTCCCTAGTTTCTTCAGTCAGTCAGTCAGTCCCTAGTTTCTTCAGCTGGATTACTTGTTTCACCTTCCGGTATGAACATTTTTGTATCTATGATTTTATTGGATTAAAGAAATGTAAATTTATTGCAAAAAATATAACCAGTAGTCTGAAAGAACATTAGAGATTTTCCTTTCAAATTCCACTTAGAAGCTAAAATGCCTTTCTTTTCAGATGGTTATATTTGAATCTGGATTAAGAAGCAATACCAAATCATATAGCTTATGCTTATAAGAAAATCCAGTCAAGATTACTAGTGCTTGATCCTCATAAACTTCAGTTAATTTCATTCTCTCAAGGGTCTTTTCCTTCTCAATCCTATGGTTGGGCACAAAAGGATTTAAAAATTTGTAGAATGGACATTATAATATTTGTTGGAAGTCCCACTTTTTTTAGTAATTGAGATTGGTTGAGTGTATAAAGTGAAAACTAAGAGTGAGGGTGTTATAAGTTATATGCATATACATACTGTCGGTTGGACTATTTCTCGAACAAACAGGTTCGTTGTTGGTTCAATAAAGCTTTTCATAACTTGTCCAATAGATCCAAAGTTTAAATAAGTAATAAATCTCCAGCTTTCATCTTACCTTAACCAATATTCAATAAAAACAATTGAAGACAAAAGAGAACATATTATTGGGCTTCACATCGCATAGTGTACCTTGTGGTTTGCTGATTATTATTAATTATATCATATTAGTTTTGCTAAGTAGAACCCACCCTTTACAAGGTGGTGGAAGTAAAGCCAAACATAATGCATGTCCAGAAACATACTTGATTTGCATGCAAGCAGCTGATGGCAAAGTTTGACAATAAACTGATGGTATCTCAAGTTTAACTGTGTCAGGGAGTCTTATAGGAAAGACATTGAGTCGTCCCCTATGAAAGGTAATATCTTTTGCAAGGTAAATTGAGAGGTTCTAACTAACATTCACAAACAAAAACCACCAATGCACCTCAGAGCAACTTAAATATAGATCTAGTTCATGAACATTTGCTCACTGTATGATGTCATTTCAAGCAAGTTTACAACCATTCCTCTTAAGAGAAGTTTAATATAAACAGAGATTACTTTTGTGTAATTAAAATTGTTAAACCATAGTTATTGAAACAAATATCATTCTGAAAAAATGGTGAGGACCGTTTAGAGAAAAAGTTTTATATTTGAGTTTTCTTTTCAAGAACTATAGCTAAAGCTTGTCCATCTCGTAGGACAGTCCCATGAGGATCTTTGTAGCCAAAATGGTGGAGATGGGCAATCTGTCACCACCATTGACACAGCAGCAAAACACAGCTGTGATTGAGCAAAGAATAACCTCATACATACAATCTGGTTTTCGTATCATACCTATGGTTTGAGTAAGAAATCTGTACCATTATCTGGTTAAACGCGGCACGGTGACCATTTCTTTTTGCGGCGAGTAAGAACGTCGCGATATACCGCTCACCAATCCAGAATCATTTCAGGGATCGAGGTGGAGGGCCCTCGACTCGCACAAATGCCCGCACTGGGCAAATGTTGAGATTATGTGGCTGTGCATCCTCTGATAGTATAGATTCCAGCGTAGTCCAACGCCGCGCGAGATCCCTCTCTGGCATCAATTCAAAGGCCGATTTCGTGCGATATTTGAGAGCGCAGTGAGGTCCCGCACTGCGGCGGAAATTACGTCACAGGGCCAGCGTGGCACTTTTGTCAGTGACGTCATTGCTGACGCGCCGGCCGCTTCCATGAAATAGGGGGGCGGGGGGGCGGCGCTCCTGCGTGTATGTGTCCCCCAGGGACGCGTGGTCTTGATCAAAGTTTGATCCTGGAGCTCGCGGGGAGCCCACATTCGCTACAATCCACAGCGTCGCTTTATGCCATCAAAAAAACTTTTCCTAGCGGCTGGCGGTGTGGAAATTGATCGAAGCCAGCAAAAGAATAGATTGATTACAACCATCTCTCCATCGTTCCGTGCGTGTCCAGAGCTTTTCAAGGAGAATTCGCGTCTCCATCGCGCGGAAAGTCTCAAAGAATACAACGCTGCATTAGGCGGTGTGGGCAAACACGTCGGACACGCCAACCGAAAAGAAGGAACGCTCCTTGCTTTCATTCCGTACCTCCTCGTGGTTTGACTTCCCCGTGATCCCCGGGTCCGTACTCGCGTGCTCACCATCGCGTTTGTCTCCTCGAGAGTTGCTACATTAATTACCTTGTCATTGTTGGGGTTTGCCGCTGGTGCAAGCAAGCAAGCAAGCAAGCCTAGAAAGCACACAAAAATAGTTTCGATCGGACAAAGACCCGGCGTTTGACCCGGCTCATGCCGCCGTTTTCCAGCAAAGTCAGTCAGTCAGTTCACACACAGTCGTTCAGTCAACCTTTCAAAGTCAAACCAGCCCGATTATTTTTGATTCGTTTACACGCGAGCTCTTTTAATCTTGTTTGTGTACTGTTCCTCAATCACAAGTGTAAAAGCCTTTTTGTATTTTACGAATTTATCCGAAGTTTCGTGGCTTGGCTCGAAGAGAATTTACACGTCGCTAGACACATACACAAGCAAATCCGATCTCAAACAGGCACAGTAAAACACAAAAAGAAAGGTTGCATTGCCAAGTCTTTTCCGAAACTTCGTGTGGGCGATTGATTTTCTGATCGGGATGGGTAGTTAACACAGATTTGCGCTTTCTCTTTTTAATACCTTTTACCCTCCACTCAAGATCCAAAAGCTATGCTTGCTTGAAAACATATAAACTAAAAAGAAAGTTTTGTTATCCTGAATCAAATATGTACAAAATAGTGTTGATGTTTCCGTCGTTGAAATTGTCAAGCTCTTGTTTCAAAATATCCCCCAAGAAGATGAGAAAAAGAGGAACTCTAGAAGCTCACCATGTCCTCCAGAAGTCCCTTGTCGATCATTGGCGAGCTCGCGGCCACGAGGCCCGAGGATAGGATCGATCCAGATCCAGCGGCGGCGGCAGAGGGATCCAGCATTCCAAATTGGTGGTGTTGGTGGAGGTGTTGGTGGTGGCTCATGAGGAGTGGATTCGCAATGCTGCTGCTAGCGTTGACACCGGTGGCACCGGTGGCGGTGGCGGCGCCGCCAAAGCTGGCGGAGGGGTGATTGTACAAGAGCCTCGAAACGCAACTCATGTACTGCGACTCGGCGCTGCCGCTCCGGATGGCCGCGGGGCTGTGGTGCGTGTGAACGCCCTCGTACGTGGTGATCACCAGGCTGGAATCTTTGGAGGATCTCTCCACCCTCTTCTTGACGTGGCACTTGGTGTACGTGCACCGGTAGTAGCTCCTGAAAGAACAATACCAGCCGATATTAGCATCTTTTTGGATTCTCTCCATGATCCTCTCTCCCTCCCTCCGTTTTTGCCGTCGAATCGTTCCAAGGATTGATCATGGAGACTGGAGCAGAGTCCCATGCTCGTCTCGATTTCACCGTCGATCGTGGAGGTGGTCAATCCAATGGCCCCAATTCAACGCATTCCTCGCCTCTCTCTCTCCTCTCACAATGGAGGTCTGCCGTACGCACCTTGGGTATGGGCTGTTCTTCACGGCCTTTTGTCCGTACTTCCTCCACCGGTAGCCATCGTCCATGATCTCCTTGTCGCTCTTGGTTTGTATGGCATACCTGGGCTGGTGGCTTCTCTTCTTCCCTTTTCTCCTGGGATTGGTGGCCCTGGAGAAAGAATGCAACGAAACAAATCGATCAGTGTGATCGGAGGAGAAGAAAACTCTGTCGATCGAACCGATCGATCGAGAGAGAAACTTACTGCTGCTGCTGCTGCTGCTGCGTCTGCGGCTGCTGCCTGGCCGAGTCGTAATGATCCAATGATGCCCCGCCGTCGCTGGCTTTTCTCTTGGGCGCCACTCCTCCATGGAGCGCTTCCATGGGCTCGTCGCTGGAGGAGGAGGATATCGAGGAATTCGGGGTGCCCGGGGGGATCACTCCCCTGCCCGATCCAAGCAACGATCCAGTGGCGGTGCTCGAGTGATCGCGCATGAGGAATTCCGAGAGGGTATCGAGGACCACTTTGCTGCTGCTGGTGCTCGGGGAAGGATCACTGCTCGCCGACGAGTAGTTGAAGCCAAATCGCGGCATCTGCTGGAAATCGCTGCCGCCCAGCTCGAATCCAGTGCCGCTGGGATCGTCGAGGAGCTCCAGCTCCTTGCGCAGGGCCTGGAGCTCCGGCGAGGAGCTGTAGCTGCTGGCGAGGGCGGGCTGGCCAGGCAGCAGAAATTGCGAGGAGCTGGAGGAAGAGGTGGAAGCGCCCGAGAAAGCTTCCGCGCCGTGAAAGACCATGGAGGGGACAGGCAGGGTCCCAATCGTGCCAGTGCAAGCCGGCGATGGCCCGGCCGGATTGAAGAAGCAATCGTCCTCTTGGAGCTCCTCGCCATGGCCATCGGCGTCGGGCTTGGCCAAGAGCCTCAGGAATCCATCCAGGTCGTCCAGCCCTCCCGGATGAACCACCTCCATGTCTGAGCTCTGCGAGATCTCGGTGGAAGAGAAAGAAAATCCCCAAATTGGGCTGCTAGGAACTGGCTGTAAGATATCACCTTTGGAGAAATGAATGCGCAAAGGCGATCGATCGATCGAAGCGAAAGAAGGCCCGGGGGTTTTATGGAGCCTAGAGGAGACGAAAGATCCAAATTTGCGGCCCAGCCCAGTCCCTATCAATCGAAAGCGAGTAGAGGCGCGATGGATCGAGCGGGGACGCGGAGAGGATTAGAGTAAACTCGCGCTAGAAGAGAAAGAAGAGAGACGATCCATGTCTGAAAGAGCGCTCGCGCCCACAACGGGAGCTGACCGACCGACACACACGAAAGAAAATAAAAAGCTAGAGGTGATGGTGGAAGGAATCGAACCGGACACCCGGACAAACAGTGCCTTTATACTTTAATTTTTCCTGCGCAGCGTTCGCTCGGCTACGCGTGGCGGCCAAGGCTTAATGAGTTCAACTTATTTAATTTGATCTCTATAATTTGTTTAGAGAGGTCAAGGTCAACGCCTTTGAATCGAGACGAGATGATTAATATTTGCCCCCTAATAATTAGAAATACATAACCTAATGTACAGATCTCTTTCTCTCTCCTTTGACATTTGCTACCACGTTTTTGATTCGGTCAAACGGGTCGAAGATCCGCGGGCAAGCGTTGGTTCCGTTGATTTCTTTCAAAGATTTGGAGTGTTGAGCAATCCATTTCAATGGTTTCTTTGTTTGGAAAATCGCGGAGGTCAAACAGCTGGAATAGTTCGTCGTGTTTTCTTGGTCCCACACGCAAAGGCAAATGCAAATGCTGCAAATGCCGGGCCATGGCACATGGTTTTCGCAATTCCTTCTTTTGTTTTTCTCCTTGTTCTTGGTGGTTTTCCTCCTCCTTTTTTTTAATTTGTTCATATCTAAAGTGGGGGAAAACACAAATAAGACCTCCATGTGGTGCCACATTCCCTGCGTTGAATGGATCCAAAAGATTCCTTGTCCAGTCCACGAAGAACAATAGTTGTAAGGAGGGAGGTATTTAGATCAGATGTGGATCCGAGTGTGAGAAAACAAGTAAACATCAACATTGGCATTCAATGTATGATGTTGTGACCAACGCAATACTCCAAACCAAAAGACCCCCATTCTCACAAGAAAAAAAAAGAATTCTCTGATCCATCTAGACGTGCCGTGTTCCAGTTATGATGTTTGGGAGGGCTTTGCGAAGTGTAAATTTTGGAATGGGACTATAGTTTACTTGCTCCTCGGTGAACAAAAAGAAATATAGAAGTGGCGTCGCGATCCCAACCGAAACAACTGCGACACGTGGTGGCATCTCCGGCATACGCGGCACCGAGTTGACCAGATGCGCGATGACGTAATTTCGCGGTGTTTTTAAGTGTTTGACTTTTGGGGGACTTAAAGTCATCGCTCAAAAGGACCTGATCCTCTAAATCCTTCCATTGCATGCCTTTTCTTGTCTTCGTTGTTTCTTTCTCTGGGATGATAATCCCAAAGAATAGGTTCAAGCTTGCTCATAAATTATTGCATTATTTGCAGGCATTGTCTTTTACAATAGAGTTCCCAAATTCTCACAAAGTGGGCTGGCCGTGGTTTTTTTTAGACAAGTTTGCACGGACAAATGAGTTGCTTAGAATAGCATAGGAGGGCAGCCTAAGCTGGACATTTTGCATTTTGGTTCTTTGTGCCTAAAGTCAATTATATGATTGTTTCTTCAATATTATTTCCTAAAATTATTATAATATTATTTAAAATAATTCTAAATCCAATGAAAAAAACAAAGAGCTTATTAGCTTTAATGTAGTTATAGATTTTTGTGATTAGAAGAGTTCTATTTTTAAATTAATAGTAATTTTTTGGAGAATACCATCTAATGCTTTTTTTAGATGGTGTACCACTTTCCATGCTACTAATCTCACCATAATTTCTCCATAACTTTTCAATAGATTTTCTTTTTTATTTTACTAAATTAAAGTTATTGTCTTTGGGTTTTGTTTCAATCATGGTTGCTAAAAACTATTTTGGTGGTTTAATGGAAGTTTCAAATTTATGGGGTAGTTTATATTTGCCTAGAAGAAGCTTCATATGTTCATATGTTCCACATAACTTATCATCATCACTTTTTTATCTTCTAAAGGGGAGGATAATGCAAGATTTGTAACTATATGTATATGTATATGTATATGTAGATTGCAATTATAGTATTATCACATAAGGACTATCTAATTGAGATTGAATTTGGTCCATCCATTATTGTATATAAGTAGGGGTTTAAACCTCAATTAATATACCTATTCCCATATCCTAAACCTCACATTATATAATTATATAATTACAATTCTTGAGGTTAGAAGTAAATTATTTATTTTCAAAAAAGAATTGTTTTGTAATTACAAATCAACTTTGTAGTGCTAGTGGAAAACTCTTGTTAGAGTGAACAAATGTCTAATGGAATAGTGTTTTATCCTTAAAAATATCATTTTAAAAAGAATAACAATTTAATATCTTTTTTCTAATTTGTTTAAGGTGTTCACAATTATTTATGAAGGTGCATTACACTATTCAGTAGCCAAATAATTATATTTAGCCACCAATGGTGATTGGACTACCATTTAAGGCAAAATGTTTATATTTAATAGTTAAATATAAATTTGGTGGTTAAATCATAAATTGATTATACAATCACATGAGATATATAAATGATAAAAAAAATTTATGTTTGCAAAATATACCTATAAAAATCTAAAATTTACCCTTTAATATCCTAAGTAAAGGATAACCACCATTTCTATCACTATCTCACTATTAATTATATTCACAGATATAATTATAACAACATTATTACAAACTTTGTAAAGATAATAGATTTAATTTCATTGACACTAGAAATTTTTATCAAATCTCAAATAAAATCCAAAACTAGCTCAACAAAAATATCAATTATTATATAACAAGTAATTAAATGATCTTTTGAGTGCACCCACCTTGTTTTTGCCCACTTTAATGCAAAAAATTCCTTGAATGAATGTATGGACAGCCATGTTACTTTTTAGTACAATTTAATTTTCTCATTTGACCATGTGTGAGTTAATGAATACTCTAAATAGTTAAATCACATAGATGTGTTAAATCTAAATCAGCCAATATTCTAGAAAAAATTTAGTGTGGAGGCTTTTCTTTTATTTTTTTGTTCTTAAAACAATCAAATAGTCTTCAAATTCATTGAGAGTTTTTGAAAATAAAAATTTATTTATTTATAAATAATTTTAATAATAATAACTATTGAATATACTAAAATTTTGCTACCCAAACTACCATAAAAGAGCCTTTGTACACACTCCCAACTCAACAAATTTGCTCAACTGTAACTAGTATCTTATAGGCTAAATTAAAAATACATATGTGAATTTTCTTACCTAGGTTAAAATTCAAAGCATCATTGAAATCTTAAAATAATATTAACGCTTTGTTTTCAGAAGCAATCCTCTCCAACTTAAGGATTCAATCTCCACCAAAATAGTAATCATGAGGACTTGTAAAACTTGTAGTATCATAAGCATTTTCACTGAAGGATGGCCTAGTGTAAGTTCAACCATTCTATTGTAGCTTATACCTTAAAAATGAGAGCCAATCTAGCTCGAAAATGAAAAACCTAGTTCTCTAGATTAAGCAAGCACCAATGGCAAGCTAAGAGAGGGTTGAAAATCTCTTTGAGCTCATCAATTAGACTTGAAGAATCTCACTCATATAAAATGAGTTTTTGTGAGGATTATTCCGAGGCTACTGAGAGAATATTGACATCTAAACTAACAAGCTATAAGCAACAAATGAAGTACATATCACATTTGAAAAAACACGGGTATTAATATTTTGAGAATATAAAAAGTATATAAAGAATAATCCGGAAAATGAGATAAATTGAAGTTGAGTGAAAATGGCAAAATCTTGAGTTTCAAGTCCATCTAGAACATCTGGGCTGAGTGTGTATCCCCATCGTGTCAAAAGATGCATCACCCCCTCATTCTTGCGAAGATCCTTGCTGATGGTGGCTTTAACTGTGTGCCTCCACTCTTTTCCTAGCATTCAGAGGAAGACGAAGTATCTCAAAATCCGGGCCAGGATCACATGAATCAATAGGATATGGAGAAATGTTCAAGTCCCCCACAATAATAATCCTCCTGCCTTGTTCTTAGACTTTCACTTCATTGTCTTATCCCTCCAGAGAAAACTTTAGTGACCATAAAGTTGACCGGGAGAGTCTGGATGCACCCGCTGGCTGAGATCCAGAGGAACCTCGACCAGGAATAGTGCTTGCCTGGTATCAGTGTCCCAGTCCTTCACCATACCTTTCCAAAACTCACAGACACGACCTCCCATCCAGTGGAATGGACGCAAACATACATTGTGAGCAAGATCATCCCTGCATACTCGAGTCTTCTTACGTTGTCTCTCGGGTATGTATGGGGATTACATTTAGAAAGATAATATTCTATGAATCTTCTTCAATCACAAACTAAAAAGTGTCATTCCTTCATCTATTAATTCAAAAGGTGGTTTCTTAGTTAATTGCTGAAGAATAATTTATAAAAGACTTGGAGAGAAAACGAGAGAAAAAACCATTTGCACTGCACTAGCTAGCTAGCTGGAGTCCCTGGCGCATCGAGTGATGGTGCTGCATCGCCGAGCGTAGCAATCGGGAGGACCCTTTGCCGCGACGCAGTTGGGGGTGTAGTAGGATCTTCCCGACATTGGAGCGCAGGGGACTCGATCAGCCGAGAGCGCGCCATAGCTGATGTAGTGGATGTGCTGCTGCTGCTTCTTGGGCGGCTCTTGGTAGTACTGGATCGATCTTCCCCCTGCCTGGAGCAGACCCAGCAATGGATCTCGAGGCGACGAAGATGAAGCAACAACCGTAGCGACAATGAGCCACATTGTCGCCAAAACGAGCATACCTCCTCTCATCGTCCATGCCGCCATAGCTTTGCTTGCTCTACACGACCGCGCTTCCTCCCCCTAGCTAGCTGTGAAAGAAGAAAAATACTCACTGATAATAAATAGATGCTCTGGTTTCTTTCTTTATAGCACGTGAGTTTAACGTACCGGCAGGGTCATCTTAACTCTCGCGTCGTTAGTCACCAAGAGAAGCAAAATTTTGAGCCGATCCAGAGCGATTTAGGCGGCTTCGAACGCCGCGAGCCATGACCGAAAGGCCTGGGAAAAAAAACAAAAAAACAACGCATAGGAGTTAAAAAGAGAGCATAGAATAGTTAGCATTGATCTGACCTTCGATGACTCTCAGCATGGAGTTCCACCACACTTCGCGAGGAGCGTTGCGTGCG